GCTCGACATCGAATGTGTTACTGTTGTCATGTTCGATATTATACGTATGTTATGATCGACGTCTTATATTGCGTAATTCTTAAATTATTGTTATTTGTGACATTTAATTTTGTATGATTATTATTTCCTATCTCTCCCGTTCTCTGACTCTCCTTGCTCATGTGAATCACCCACCTATTGCATAGTAGTCGGTTTCGCCCGTCGCTAGAGAAAGTCCTATATGAGAAATCTTTGATCTGATCCTAATTGCAAAAGAATATCGACCTTCGAGTTATTGGTAACGTCGAACAAGAGTGGCACGCTCTCTCTAGTGCTCAACAATAATTGAGTGGTCACTTGGAGATTTGTTTTAATATTTCTGTTAGAGCAGTGGAGACTGTATTCTTTCTTGGTATTCTTCTTTTTTAGTTATGACACCTTTCTGTAGGCACATATTTGTAACAGAACATCGTTAATTTGAATTCATATAAGATTTTTATCGAATTCGACTTATAATAACTTTTAATTTAACTATATTAACTTTTTTTTTACTTGGTTATTTTAGTGAAATATTTTTAACATATAGTATATGATTTGTTTTATTCGACAAAATACAACAGACGTCTTAGAAGATTTCAAATAGTGAGATAGTTTAACAATGTCTGACGACTATGGACTGTTATCATCATATTCACTGGAAGAGGACTCAATACCAAGGTTAAAACGTTTGTCTATATTTAATTAAATTATAATATATATTTACACACGAATAATTTGTGTTGACTTACATTGGGTTTTCTTTTGTTTCCTCATATTTATATTGTTTTTCTTTTTTCTTATTGATAATCTGTAAAATAAAATTAAATATTATGATTACAAATTGTCTATATATAATTTCTTTTATTTTATTATTTATATAAGTATTACAATTAAAGTCTATTTATCTGGTCAAATTGTTAATTATTCATTAGTGACTCGAAGATGTTCTTACCTCTCAACTCTCCATAATTCTATTGTAATCCACAAAGTATACCATCGACTTCTGAGCAGAGATATCCTTCGAAAAGAACGTATCCCTTTTTTAAAATTGACAAGTCGGTTATTATTTTTTATGTTTCCAGAAGAACGTATTTCTCTTCAAAAATTTACAGACCGATTATTATCTTCCATGTTATTCAGAATAATACATCTCTGCTCAATATTAAACGATTAAACAAGACCTACCAAGATAATACAGATAAAATAATATAATAATAAAAAACAAAAATAATAAAAAAGAATAAATGCAAAATGTTATTCATGTAAACAATAACGTACCTTGGCCGATGAAACATACCACACTCACGCAAGATAAGTTTATATATCGCACAATTTTCAATTTATCAATAGATATAGCGCAACATGTACTCCTATTAACTTTATTGTAATAGATATGTGTATAATTTCATTGCGTGTACATCATTCTGCTATATCTTCAATTTTGACGCTAGGATTTCATTCAGACGTTAATATGACAACGTGAGTGTTGTCTAGTAGTGCACGGTAAAAATTTCCGTGATTATTACGTATGCACAGTGTGTGCAAAATAGATTTGTTTACTTTATATCGTTATTTCCTGTTATGTAAAAATGCGCAGTAAAGCGTAAAAAATCGAGCGCGTAAAGGATGTTATAAGTATAGAGGCGTTTGTAATTATTTTTCAAAAATGATACTTTGGACAATAACTTTATATTTGATTCGGTTGAATTCCTATATAATTGAATTGATTCTTAAAATAATTTTTAATTTTATCATTAAAAAAAATCTAAACTTAGAAAAAGAAGTTAAGTGGTAGGGATATATAAATAAATAATTTTCAAAAATGTTTTTTATTATAATTATGAAGTACTCTTAAAATTATTTAACTTTTATTTCAAACATTTTTTATCTCTTAGTTTCGATAATATTTGCTTTGAAAGAAAAGATTTTTTTTTTTAAAAGTATTTTACTCCTTAAAAGTGAGGACACGTATAAAAAAATGCGTGTCATTTATTTGTCTAAAAAACAACGTACTCAAAGCTCATCAAAATCAGAGGAGAACTGTTGGGTCCCTTTCCTTGTAAGTTAAACTAATAATAATTAATTATCACTTCGCAGTTTAGCCGGATCCATTTCTTTTCGTTACTTCATCGATAAGGCGCCCAACAGAAGATAACGAGCACGAGATGTAAGGTGCTCGAATTAAAACTTAACTTACTCGGAAACGTCTGGAAATGTGCCTCATCGATTTCAATAAGTATCGAATATGCTATAGAACTGTTAAAAAATAATAGAAACATTCAAAGGTTATCAAAATCAGAAAAGATACTTCCAAACTTTCCTTGCTAGATCTAAAATGAGAGAGAAGGAGCCGCTCGAAACTTCTTCGAACGAAATCAAAGGATAAGTGTGTTCGCTGATCGATCGACTCAATGTTCATTCGAGGCGTTCTAAGATTTCACGCATCTCATAGATGTTTTGTACGTTAAATAGAGTCGAAAGGTCAATCGTTCATCGCGAGAGCGACGGATGAGAGATCGACGTAGAAAAGATTCGATAATTAAATTAGTAGCTTAAAAAGTAAACGACAGAAATGCCCTCCTGTGACATGGCTGTAGAGAAATGTCATGTCTCCCATCAGAATGCGATAAGATCGTAAATATAGGCTTAGTAAATGCAACATTCAAGACTTGCACTCTGTGAAAAAAGATATTATGTCTTAATAGAGATGTGCGAAGTATGGATCGATTTAAATCGAATTAAGATTCAATTCTATTCAAATCTGAGTCTTTATGATTCAAATTCAACTAAAAAATTTCGAATCTAAGAGGTTCAAATACAAATCACATACACTTATCGACAATCTTATAAAACCATATTTTTTGCTACTAAGTAAAACAGAAAGAAAATTTTTTTATTATCTATATATTAATATTTAGTCTAATAATATATTGTTAATTAAAAGCCACGTTTTAACAATTCCATTTGATTCAGGAGAAATTTTGTCAATTTGGATCGATTTGAGTCCAAATAAAGAAATAAAATTCGATTTAATGTAAAAATCTTGATTTGCACATCTCTATGTCTTGATTGATTCTATCGAATGATATATCCAACTTTGCTCGCCAAATTAGAGAATTATTTAATAAATTTTATAGCTTTTGAATTTTTTTTCACTTAAGATTGCTGTTTCTTACTACTTGAAACTTCTTCGCAGAATGCGAGATACAGGATTCGCGATCCTATTTCCAGGCCACAGAATAGCATTGGTGCTTCTAAAGTATCGCGATACTTCGTTGCTTTCTATGATTGCTGAATGACCGACATTGCTGTCTCTGTAATTGCTCTTCCGTCTCTACAGATGCTTGATGATGTCGTCGTTTGCTCGGAAGGGGCAGCCGCGATTGTCAGTTGTCTTTGCTCCATGTGATCAAGAGTTTTCTCAATGGCTCGTAGCCGTTTTTCCAAACTAGTAGTGCCCAAAATACCCACCTGCAGTTGCGGTCCTAATGGCAAAATTGCAAGTAACCACCATGTCCATGATGGACCGTCCGGTAAACGTGGCCAATCCTCTTCCACGTCAGGCATGCGTCCGAACACTCGTTGAATCTCGGACTTCTGAGAGATCGACACTGTGTCCCACCATCTTCGGCCTTTTGCTCGTACCTGTGAAATTAAGGAGATAAGTAAATTGTCAAAAAATTGATTCTATTTTTATTATTGTCATACAAAATGTTTCTTATTTCCTCTCTTTAGCCAATTAATATTACAAATAAGAATATTAATTTAAAAAATAAAAAAGAATAAAAAAATAAATAAATAATTAAAACAAAAAATTAGCATAATTAAGATAACGCTATAATCTTTTATTATCAAACAAATATACGTGCTAAAAATTGT